CTCTTAGGACTCCTTATGTACAGAAAGACTACTGAGAGGAGTGGGAAGAATTTAATTATTTTTTTTCCTACACTATAAATATCTACAAATACCTATAAATAAGCTATGCAATTATAATGGTTTCTTTTAATTCAAGCATTTTCCTTTAAAAAAATTTACTGTGTTTGAACAAGGAAGTGTTTAAAGAGAAATGTGGTTGAAAAATAATCTTAATTTACAACCTCTAAACTCCATCTAACTACAGCACTAGTGTTAAAGTTTAGGGGTGCTGGGACCCTGAAATCACAACATATAGGTCCTGCCAGAATGAATTTGACCCAAGCCTTCTTTCAGCCAAAGACAAGGTTTGTTAGAACATCCATCATATTGGGCAGACTCTTGAGGAATCTAAACATTTGTATCGCTAATGCAAGTGGGCCAGATTTTAAGAATCTGAGCACTTTAATGGAGACAAGATGGACCTTATATACAAAAAAAAAAAGACTGTGGGAAGGATCTAGGAGTGGCCACGTAGTTTGGGGTAACTGGAGGAAGGGTCTCAGGAATATATGGATGGGAGTGGCCAGTAAACTGGGGTAAACAGAATGCCTGGGACCTGAATGCAAGGCAAAGTAACAATGGAGTCTAGATAGGATTAAAGGTGGGAAGTGGCCTGGGGCCATCTGGAGGTAATAGACAAAGGAGGTCTAGGTAACAGAATTGGGAGATTGAATGAAATGAAATCAAATCAAATGAAATGAAATGAAAGGCCAGTTGATAGGATTATAGCCTCAGAGACCTCCTTGATCAAGTGGGAAAATTCAAGGAGAATCCCTTAGACGAAGGGGCCCCCAATTCTTTCTGGGGTAAGGGGCAAAGTTCTCGGCTTGGGCCCATACTCCATCACTAGCAGTTGTCTAATCTATTTTCAGGCGCCTTTGTCACAAATCTTGGGTGTAATTGCAATGTCACCTTGGCTGATGGATTTCTTGTCAAGACCTCGCATTATACAGATTCATAATGTTTAAAATGAATAACAGTTCTACAAATATATGTGTTTAACACAATGATTTAGTCCAGTAATGTTTGGGGGGGAAGAAAACAACAAAACACTTAAGGATTTCAGCTTTGACTTGGTGGGCAACAGTTTTATCCTCCTAGTCACAATTTTGGCACAGGTCTAAAGTAGCCTTAATGAAGATCACAAAGTAATTGGGAGTGGGGGGTGGAGGGATGGGAAGTAACCTCTAACAAGACTAGGCAGCTGTGTCTCTTGACAGAGAAGCCAAAGGAGTATTCTAGTCTTTAGTGAGCACTTCTTCCTAATATAAAAGCTTTCATGTCTTCTAGGTAACAATTACATAAACTTCCCATAAGTCTCCTTCCTAATTAACCTCAAATTTGGCTGGGAAGGCTTAACAGGAGCATTTTCTCCCTTTCGATTGAATCATCTTTACTTTTAGAGTGAGTATGATAGGGCAAGAAGCTTTACCCAATGTAAAGAATTAGCATTTGAAGAAAGAGAGGAAGGAAAGAAAGAAGGAAGGAAGGAAGGAAGGGAGGGAGGGAGAAAGGGGCTATCAAGGAGTTGCCTTAAAGAGTCCTGGTAAAAACTAAGACCAGTTCAAGATAGAAGAAAACTATGGGGTACAGGTAGTCAATGCTGTGAAAAAAGATGACCTTATTCTCTGGATCTAGTTCTGTATTATCATTATTTTTGTTATTAGTGAAAAGAAGGTATTATGACAGATAGATACATAATATATATCATATTTTATATATTATATATTGTTTAATAAGAAATTAAAAAGTAATGATAATTAGTAGCACTTTCTTTGGCATTTCAAATGTTAAGGCATCACTTTTATATCTGAAACTGTTAGAGAAGTGCAGCTGTTCCACAGAAAACAGACCTGTGCAAAGAAATCATCAGTGGTTGGAAAATAAAGGATCATAAAATGTCACAGCTGAAAAGGACTTTGGAGGTCATTGAGTCCTGTTGAGGTTTAGAGGTTTAGGGGTACTAGGGCCCCAAAATCACAACACACAGGTCCTGTCCAAAAGAATTTGACCCAAGCCTTCTTTCAGCCAATGACAAGGTTTATTAGAACATTCTCCATATTGGCCAGACTCTTAAGGAATGTTACTGAGCTATTGGCTAGATTATCAGAAATCTGAGCACCTTAATGGAATATACAGAAAGACTGTGGAAGGGATCTAGGAGTGGCCAAGTAGTCTTTGGGGACTGTGAGGTAACAGAATGCCAGGGGGCCTAGCTAGGATTAAGGGTGGTAAGTGCCTGGGGAGATAAGACAATGGAGGGCTAAACTAGGTTAAGGGTAACAGAGAATTGGGAGACTGGGCCTAGCCACAATGAAAGGCCAGTTGATGGGATGATAGCCTCACACAAATGCCAGAGATTTGGCCATTTGGGAAAGTCCAGGGTTTTTCCTTTCTGGGGTCTAGATCCCAACCCCATCAGTCCAACTCCCTATTTTATAGATGAGGAAACCAAAACCCAAGAGATGCAGTGACTTCCATCAGGTCACCCAGCTAGCTGCTCTATCTCACCAGCACCCACTGTACCTCATTAGACACATAGGACACATAAATGTCTACTTTTGCAAAGAAACTGAAGTCACACAGCATTTTGTACTTCTGGGTCATCTCTATGCCTTACCTGCATTCCCACCTCCTTCCTACAAGAACACTGACCTCCAAACCTGGAACCTCCTTGGGCACAAATGTTCTCCTTATTTTGGCCAGTTCTGAGCTTCCATCTCCCTTCTTGACATCTCCACAATATGTCTCCTCCCCCTCTCTAAACTTCAAGTATGTTGCCTTGCTTTTAATGCTGAGTGAATAAGGAAGTGATCACTCAGCAACATTTATTAAGCACCTACTATGTGCCAAGAACTGGGAGACAAAGACAAGAATGAAGGAAAAGACAGACTGCCTATTTGCTTCCTCAAATGGTGAAGGAATCAACAAGGGGATAGTCTATTACAGACCTGATTCTCACTAATAGGAAGGAACTGGTTGCTGGGAAATGATAGGAATCTTGGGGGAAGTGACCAGTCCCTACTACAGTTTGTGATAAGAGAAGTAGAGGAAAGCTAGAAATAGTCTGATATATGCACCCTAGATTTAGGGAAAGTAAATTTCAAGTAGCTCAGAGAGGGAATAAGGATTGCATGGACTAAAATTCTACAGGAGAAGTCAGCCCAGGAGGAGTGGAGAAACTCTCCAGAATGAAATTCCAAAAACAAAAAGGGAAATAATTCAATGAAAAGGAAAAAAAAAAGTTGCCTGAAGAGACTGATGTAGATGCCCGGAGAACTCCCTAACCAAATTAGAATTTTAAAAGACAGATAAAGAGAATAGAAACATGGGCCAGTAATAGAGAATGAACATAAAAGGGCAGCACAGCACTGTGAGGAGAGTGACAGAAGGGCTAAAGTGCAGAATAAGAAAAAGCTAGCCAGGAAGTCTAGGCAACAACAACATAAAAAAAATTTTTTTTTAATTGAGGGGGCAGAGAGGTGGTACAATGGATAAAGCACCAGTCCTGGAGTCAAATCTGACACTTGCTAGCTGTGTGACCCTGGGCATGTCATTTAACCTCACTGCCTCCACTACTACCCCCATGCTTCCCACCCCCTGAAAAAAATCTATATTGAGAAAATAAGAAAGAACAAAGAAGGAATAAAATCCTCACAGTGTGGATAGGATAGTGATAACCAAAATGCTTCTGTTTTCTTAGTCAAGGGGAATGAATGGCCTTCGGACTCAGAAGGACGAAACAAAACTAAAAGATAGTAAGGAAACAGCTAGCTACCCTTGATGAATTCAAAGTCATCTGGCCCAGATGATCTACATCCTGGAGTGGGGCAGGGAGGGGTTCAGGGAACCTTGCTAGATATGATTACTGAGCCATTGTTAGTGATAGCTGAAAGACTGGGAAATAAGAAAGGGACCACAGGACTGGAGTGCAAGCGTTGTCATACTTTGAAAATCTCCAGTGAAACCACATTAAACAGAATATAATTTACATTCATAAAGATAACCCAGAGATGTATTTTTTTTAAAAGGCTAAAGGCAAAAATCAATTAAAATTTTGGTTGTTAAAGGTATATGCTTCAGTTGTCTGGAAAATTAACCTATCTACAATACTTCATTCTCTGCCAATACTGAGAAACTGCTATCTGCAAAAATCAAGTTGCCAAAATGCAGATAGAACTTTGCATTTCTACAATGATGTAAATGGGGCAAGGTGTGGCATGATCTGGAAATATCCTTTTAATTAATTTAAAGTCTCAGATATTTCTGTATTTTACTTATCCACACAATTATTAAAAACATTATCTCAGGTAACTATTTCCTAGTCAGTTGTCACTTAACTACTTTATGTCCTATCTCCTTATCTTAGAATGGGTACCTTCCAAGGTCCCTTTCAGTTCTAACAGTCTATGATTTTTTAACAAATATTTCTTATTTCATATTGGCAAATATAACAACTGCTTATCCATCCTGGGAATTGGAAGAGACTTTTTTTTTAAAGCCAGAATACATTTTCCACATACATTCAATTTATTTTAAAGGGGTTTTTTTTGTGACATTTAGGAGTTCAGATTTCGGATTAGATCAACAACTCATAAAAAGTAACTTCTTAAAAAGTAGTATTGTCTGTGCTAAATGATAGGATCCACTTGAATACCTTATCTCACAGTCTGTAAAAGTCACCACTGGAAAGAGCAAAAGCTGTCAGCCTAACAGAAACATAGGTTCACGTCTGAGTGGGAAAACTGCCAGATTAATTGTACCTCATCACCTTAGTCTTTCCATGGTTAGATTTTCACATTTAGTCATTCCCAAATTGGAGTATTTGAGGTCCAGGAAGATTAATGTTGTATGAATGATCCTTTGAATTCCAGAAAAAAAAAACTCTCTTGGGAGTGGCAGAATAGCGATACTATTGTTTGAGAATAAACAACTAGGTTCTGAATCAGGTAAGGACTGACCTTTTTTTTCTTGTTTAGCCCAGAATTCTTTAACTCTCTGACGAATGTGATTATCTTCCCTCAACTGCTTCTGCCACTGGCGCAATTCTTGGATTTCAGGTTCACAACGAACCTAAAAAAGATCACAAAAGATTTTATTTAGTTTCTATTTGTTCCCTACTCATTTACTCATTATTTAAAATTCACTAAAAACTCTTTTCAAACATACATTATTAACCTTTAATAATCAACAGTCTTTATGTATCCTTTCTATAAGATGTATAGACTCTATAGCAAAGAGTCTAATTTCTATTATTTAGCTCCAAGTGTTTGGTGGTCCTTTTCATTCCTTTTCTTCTCTGTCATTTTTTTCGACCCTTCAACTTCCTAATACAGATCAGGATTCCCCTCTGCCTCTTCAGAAGCTTTTGGGGTTTTTTGTTTTCATACTGAAGCCCTGCTTCCATTTTTAGTAAGGAGCCATGATCTCAGCGTATTTGAATTACAAAAAATGAGCCAAAGATGAAAGGCAATGTTGCATAGTTGATAAGAGAGCTAATCTCAAAGCCAATAAGATCTGGGTTGTAGTTTTGTTTCTACCAGATGTGTGACTCTGGGCAAATCACTTGAACTCTCACTATTCTAGGTAGTGTGGAGTTCAAAATTATCTAATCTGCAATAAAAGAAACTGAGGCAGAGGTCTGAGCCAATAGCACTTTATTTAACGGTCCATGGTCCCTCTAATAAAGTGGACTTCAGATCTTCCTCAAGATTTCCTTAAAGTCTTAGTTTTATAGTGCTTGCTACCCAGATGATACAGAAGAGGCAAAGCAAAACATAGTGTTGTTGGTTGATAGACTTATACGTTAACCTTCCAGGAGAACCTTCAACTCATGCTTGCACAGATTAGCTGGTAGAAAATACCTAAATATGGGCAAAGCTGACAGTCTTTCATTGGCCCCATGTTGGGCAATAGATAGGGGAATAGATTTGCAGGCAGCTCCTGCAATGTGAAGATAGGTTCACCCACTGGTCAAGTACTCAAGTACTCATAGGACCTGTTGTCTAAATGCCATGGGGCTGTTTCCCTAGTGAAGGGACAACAAGGGTGGAGGTACAATAAAAAATAGCTAGGGGAATTTCCATGCCATTGAATCACCTCCACCACACTGGGCTCGGTCATTTACTTGGTTAAGCCTTGGTTAAGCAAGTAGATTCATTAGATAGACTAACTGTATATCAACAGACAAGTACAACAATAATAATCACTGCCCCTATGGAATCAAACTCAACTGAATAATGCTAACTAGGGGTCAAAATAAGATAGGGGTCTAAATTAATCATTTCCCACAATAGCTTTCTTAAAATTGTAAATTGCAGAGCAGGTACCAACTTGAATTGGTAGAAGGAGTTTCCTCACCAAGTTTCCTATAGCAGTGAAATTACAGATACAGTGCCTATCTTCCACAACAAAGAGGCAAGTTATTTGTTTTTTGTTCTTGCAAAAGTTAGACATTTTAAAATTGGGGCAGCTAAGTGGTGCAGTGAATAAAGCACCATGCCTGGAGTCAGAAAGAACTGAGTTCAAATCCAGCCTCAGATACTTACCAGCTGTGTGACCCTGGGCAAATCACTTAACCTTGTTTCCCTCAGTTTCCTTATCTCTAAAATGAGCTGGTGAAGGAAACGGCAAACCACTCCAGCATCTTTGCCAAAACAACTTCAAATGGGGTCACAGTCAGACATGAAACAACAATTCATTTCAATGAAAATTTAGTGAGCATCCCCACAATATCCAGTTTTTTGCCACCACAAAGAGAGCCGCTATAAATATTTTAGAACATATAAGTTCTTTTTCTTTTCCCCTAATTATCTTTGGAAACAGACTTAGTAGGGGTATTGCTGGGTCCAAGGGTATAGGCAGTTTAATAACTCTTTGGGCAAAATTCCACATTACTCTCCAAAATGGTTCAATCAGGGGCAGCTAGGTGGCACAGTGGATAGAGCACTGGCCCTGGAGTCAGGAGGACCTGAGTTCAAATCTGGATTTACATACTTGACACTTACTAGCTGTGTGACCTTGGGCAAGTCACTTAATCCCATTGCCTAGCCAAAAAAAAAAAGTGGTTCAATGAGTTCACACTTCCACCTACTGTGAATTAGTGTTCCAATTTTTCCATATGCCCTCCAACATTTGTTGCTTTCCCCTTCAATCATTTTAGCCAATCTGACAGATGGAAAATGATATCTCAAGATTGTTTTAATTTGCATTTCTTTAATCAATAATGATTTAGAGCACTTTTTCATATGACTATAAATTGTTTTGATTTCTTCATTGGAAAACTGCCTGTTCATATCTTTTGAGCATTTATCAACTGAGGAATGATTCATATTCTTACATATTTCACAAAGTTCTTTATGCATATGAAATATGAGACCTTTATCTGAGAAACTGTCTACAAAATCCCCCCCCCCAATTTTCTGCTTTCCTACTGATTTGGCTACATTTGTTTTATTTGTACAAAACCTTTTTAATTTAATGTAACTTAAATTATTCATTTCACACTTCACACTGCTCTCTATTTCTTATTTATTCATAAATTGTTCACCTATCCATAAGTCTGATAGATATTATCCATATTCTTCAAATTTTCTTGTGATATCTCTCTTTATATCTAGGTCATATATCCATTTTGACTTTATCTTGATAAATGGCATAAGATACTGATCTATACCCAATTTCTGCCAGACTGCCTTCCAGCTCTCCCAACAATTTTTAATAAGTAACAAATTCTTATCCCCCAAACTTAAGTCTTTACACTTGCCAAACACAAGGTTACTATAGTCACTTGCTGTTATAAATTGTATGTCTACCCTGTTCCACTGTTCTACCTTTCTATTTCTTAGCTAGTACCACATAGTTTTAATAATTACTGCCTTCTAATATAGTTTAAGATCTGATACTGCTAAATCACCTTCCTTTATATTTTATATTAGTTTTTTTTATATTCTTGACCTTTTGCTCTTCTAAATGAATTTTATTTTTTTCCTAACTCAGTAAAATAATTTTATGGTAATTTAATTGAGATGGCATTGAATATATAAATTAGTTTCGATAAAGTTGTCATTTTTTAAATTATATTGGCCCTACCTACCCACAAACAATTACTATTTTTCCAATTATTTAAATTTGATTTTATTTGTGTAAAAAGGTTTGGGTTTTTTTTTTAATAATTTTGTTCATCTAATTCTTGCGTTTGATTTGGCAGGTGTACTCCCAGGTTTTTTATACCATCTGAAGTTATTTTAAGTGGGATACCTCTTACTATCTCCTCCTGCAGAGTTCTGTTTGTGATATATAGGAATGCTGATGATTTATGTGGATTTACTTTATATCCTGATACTTTGCTAAAATTACTCATTGTTTCAATTAACTTTTTAGTTGAGTCTTTGGGATTTTCCAAGTATATCATCATATAGTCTGCAAAAAGAGATAATTGTATTACATCATTTCCTATCTGATTCCTTCTATTTCTTTTTCTTCTCTAATTACCATTGCCAGGACTTCCAGTATAATATTGAATAATATTGGTAAGGATGGGCATCCTTATTGCACACTTGACCTTACAAGGGTGACTTCTAGCTTATCATCATTACAAATAATGCTTTCTGATGGTTTTAGGTAAATCTTTTTATATTAATTTAAGAAAAAGTCCATTTACACCTAGATTTTCAAGTGTTTTTTAAAAGAAATGAGTGCTGTACTTTATCAAAAGTGTTTTCTGCATCTATTGATATAATCATATGATTTTGTTACTTTTATTATTGATATAATCAATTATGTTAATAGTTTTCCTTATGTTAAACCACCCCTGCTTTCTTGGTATAAAACCCTATTGGTTATAATGTATAATCTTTATAATAAATTGTTGTAATCTTTTAGCTAGTATTTTACTTAGGATTTTTGCATCCATATTCATTAACAAAATTGGTCTATAATTTTCTTTCTCTATTTTTACTCTTGCTGGTTTAGGTATCAGTATCATTTGTTTCATAAAACGAGTTTGGTAGGATCTCTTCTTTGCCTATTATTCCAAATGATTTATTTAATTTGTTTCTATCAGTTGGGGAATGGTTGAACAAGTTGTGGTATATGACTATGATGGAATACTGCTATGCTATAAGAAATGATGAGCTCGATGGCCTTAGAAAAACATGGATAGACTTACACAAAAAAATGAAAGAGCACAATGAGCAGAACCAAGAGAATATTGTATACAGTAACAGCAATGTTATTTTCAGAACAACTTTAATTGACTATGTCATTTTTACTATTATAAATACCCAAATACAAAGGACCTGTGAAAGAAGATGTTATCTGCATCCAAAGAAAGAACTGATAAAAAGATATATAGAATGATTTTACATATGTATACACATTTGTGTCTAATGGTAGACATCTCTAGGGTGAGGAGCAAAAAAAGCACACAAAACCAAAGTTACATGATAACCATTATATATATTTAAAAGGAAAGTTGTACATAATAGATTTGCAGTTTCATGTGCAATCATCTTTTTTTCCTATTCTACTATGTTATAGAAACACTTGTTTTATTTCTTAAGTTCAGAATAAAGTAAATATATTTTTTTTAATTTAGTGAGAAAGAATTGTTTTGAAATTCTAAAGAAGATAAGCAAATTAGAAGAGTCCTACAATCCTCAAAACTAAAAAAAAAATCAGGTTTTTGTTCTTTTTCTTCTCTTTTCTAGTTAAAATGTTGTAACCTGTTTTGTTGTTGTTAAAAGGGGGGAGTTGACCAAACAGGAGACAGAGAACATTATGAAAAGCAAAATAGATAATTTTGATTACAGTAAATTGAAAAGTTTTTGCACAAACAAAGCCAATGCAACTAAGATTAGAAGGAAGGCAGAAAATTGGGAAAGAATTTTTACAACCAGTCTCTCTGATAAGGGCCTCATTTTTTTCTTTTTTTTTTTCTGGGTTTTTTTTTAAATATAAATTTATTTATTTGTAGTTTTCAACATCCATTTCCACAAGTTTTTGAGTTCCAAATTCTCACCCCATCTCACCCTCCCCCACCCCAAGATGGCATGCATTCTGAATATCCCTTC